AAAAGAAACAATCAGAAATAAAAATAAAACTTACGTGGCAGGAGCAATCATGGCGAGTGCAGTGAAAGCTTGACAAAATCACTTTTCAGAACGACTGCGAGCTTCAAAACAGTGAAATAGTGTTCCAGACAAAAAACGGAACACAGCAAAGACACCGAAATGAAGAGCAAGTCGAAAAGTCAAGGAATTCAGGAAGGCAGCTGAATAAAATGACGAATCAGGCCAAAACACCACGAAAACATAAAGAACTGTGAAACAACCACGCTATATGATTGTAAAACAACATTATCTTAGATAGGAATAACTCACCTCTATTGAAGGAAGCCTGGCGGAGTGGCAGAATACTAGTTTGAAACCGAATAATGCTGAAAACAGCTGATTCGGCCGTCAATACTCTGCGACATCCAGACGGAAGAGCACCCTAGTGACTGTAGCCATGGAGGAGAATTAGAGAAAGCAGAGACAAGGAGGCAGTGTTTTTGCACAATTGACACAGACATTTCACGGCAAACTTCCATAGGCACGCAACCGCCGACGCGCTCGCAATGTAGTCCGCAGCCCCGCCCTCCCCGACTTCGAGATATGGACTGTATGTGTGTGTCGTTCTTGTCGATTGCAAATGCCCGGCAGGAACGGTATTGACCAGGGTCAAGCGAACCGTCGAGGAAAATTTGGAAATACGACCCCCCTCCCCCAGAGGCCGAAGTCCATGAAACGACCCTCTTCAAAAGCCGAACTATGAAAAGGTTGTTTAATTCTCCCCAAAACTGTTCATAAAAAAGCCCTGCTACCCCACCGTCCACCAAAAAATTCGTTTAAGAAGTACAAAAGTGAAAAAGTCAAAGAATGATCATTATTGATGAGTCCTACCAAACGAGCAAACGAGAAACGGAGCAAAAAACGACAAACTAGTCACTAAAAATGGCATACTATGACAACATCTCTTCTTTATTTATTTCCTTCACAAGACTTACCAAATTCTAGTACTACACAGATATGGTTCTCAATTTACACGTCCCCCTTCAGTTGAAAGAAGCCTTGTAACCGCCTTCGCCAGCTGTGTGTTGACTGGACCGTGGAGCAGCTTATTTACTATTGAAATTTGAACAAATATTCAAATGATTATAACTTTCTTCAAATTAACGAATTTTCAATCTGAAAGCAGATTTGGGAGTTTTGTGAAGAGCTCTTTCTAATCAGTATTGAAATTACAAAAATTTATAAGAAATAACAAATTTAGATCAATTAACGAGGAAAATTCATGATGAGCACGAGTTTTTACACTTTCCGAAGCCATAACTTGCTTCATTTTCATCAAATCTGAAAAGTTAATATGGCAGACAAAACTAGAAGATTTTCTCTATCAAACGGTTACTAAAGCAGCTTTATACGTCCAGTATTCAAAAAATGGCCACGTTGAGGATTTTTGCAAAATTAACGAGGAAAATTCGTGATGAGTGCGAGTTTTTACGCTTTCCAAAGCCATAACTCCGTTCAAACTCATCCAATCTGAAAAGTTAATACGTCATCATAAACTAGAAGATTTGCTCTATTCAACGGTTACTAGAACTGCTAAATACGTCCACTATTTAAAAAATGGCCACGTTGAGGATTTTTGCCCGAGTACCGCCGAAAGGTACTTTTTCGCTGCATTCAACGACTATAGCTCCTTTTAGGGACTAAATATATAAAATGCATAATATAATATAATATAATACATAAATATATGTATACTGAACTAGGAGTTTCTGCTTTCAAGAAAGTGTAAAATTGTTTAGCGTATCTCAACTTTAAAGGTTACATGCTTGTGAATTTGACGCTGAAGGCTGCGTTTCTTGTTGAATAGTGTACTCCTCCCTGTAATTTCACATGAACCCTTTCAGAATCCTCTTGATTTTCCTGAATTGAGATTCTTTCTCCAGAGAGCCGTAGCTTGAAGCGCGCGCAACCAACTGGGCCCACTCTGGGATGCGCCGTGTGCTTCACATCCCTTCAGGATTTGAGGACTCACTTGAAAGATAAAATATCCTTGGAAAACGTGCGAATTTCGGATTCTTTAACTTGTGTGGTGATAAAACACTGAAGTAACTAAGAATTACTACGCGGACACCTCAGAATCACGAAAATTTTGTGTGGGTGGAATATCATTTTTATTGGAAATCCTCTGGCCTGGGCATCGATTCGATCCTTGATGTTTGTCCTCCGACGATGATCCTACTGCATATCAATCGGCCCGATCTCTTCCCCAGCGGGCCAATACGACCCCCCCCCTTGTGACGTGTCGAGGATTCCTCAACGCAAGCATGACCCTGCGCCGCTCTCGGAGCTTCTCGCCCACCTTCTCGCCGTCTAACTCTAGCCGTTCAGCAGAGCTACATTAGCGTTGAGGAGGGCAGCCCAGTGAGAGACGCATCAGTGCGGAGATCAAGGACGAAGAAGTGTAGTATTAGTTGCTTCTCTTCGAGCTTCCGAGATTGATACAGAACTTTATTTCGGCTTACGTTTCGGCGCACTCGCCTTCTTCGGAGCCTGCAAATCGAAGCATATTCTTGAAACAATTCATCCAACCGTCATTTCAGATTACAAGAAGAAGAACTAAGGGATAGAAGCCATGAACAGTGACAAAACCCGCTAACCTTTACAAAAGCCGAGGGCTGGAAGCACCCTTTGCTTGAAGACCGTGCGGGGGCGGTTGGATGAATTGTTTCAAGGACATGCTTCGATTTGCAGGCTCCGAAGAAGGCGAGTGCGCCGAAACGTAAGCCGAAATAAAGTTCTGTATCAATCTCGGAAGCTCGAAGAGAAGCAACTAATACTATACTAATCATGCCGAGATTAATAGAGAGTCGTTCATGGAATATTCTGGACGAAGAAGTGGTTCAGTTGCTCGTGTCGCTGGGTTCTCACGCTTTATTCTTGACCCTGCCCCACTGTCTTCCTCTACTTTGATATCCACTGGAGTGGCTTTTCATAAAACCAGCCTTTATGACATAACTTCGGCCTACTCAAAACCGTGAGGGGCCAGTCTTGCTGAGACACGTGAGAGGACTGCGTGATGAAATCCACGTCGCCAAATGCTTTCGTGGCATTCAACGCTGTTCCGGATCGACCGGCTCAAGTTAAGGACCTATTCGTCAGTGTGACAGTGACAAAGCTATTGCCTCCTCATATTCCAATCCATCGAATACATAAACATTTTAATTGCTGTCAGCGGTGACGCACTCGGTCCCAGAATTCGCACATTTTTTGAACCTTTTGCATTCTTAATCTATGGTTTACTCCATTTCTGGAGCTTTCGTTTAGTTTTTTATACTGTTCTCGTTGAGCTTACGTGCCTGCCACATTCTCGTTACTTCTTTCTCGGTTCTCCTAAAATGCACACCATTCGATCAATTCCTCTTTGATTTCAAAAATCCTACATATTGTCCTACAGTCAACTTGCTTTCACATTTTGTCCGCCTGCTGCCAATCAGTTCACTTTGGAATATGTAACTCGTTTAAAACCGATAAACTCACATTTCTAAATTTCGTGTAGCAATGGGGTGGATTGAAGCATACGTAATATACAGGGGGGGGGGGGGCAATAAAAAAAGACATTTTGTCTCCAGACTCAAATGGATTTAATCACACTTTGCTCAGCTCAAAGCGTGTGCTCCCAACTTAGAATTGAAGAGCGCATTTCATTTCATAAGAAAATCTTCATAGTGGCCATCTACGTGGACGGCATCAGAAAAGTTTGCCCCGGAAACATGGTGCTCTGGTCGAGCTCAATGGGGTTCTCGACTGATCGTGTACCGTTACGACGGGTTCCGAAGGGCGGGTTCCGAGGGGTTTGCATAGTTAGAGCTAATGTCCCTAGGAAACTATCCCACGTTGAATCGATCCAAGAAATTATGTAAGAGCTTCAGGCTGAAGCAGTTACTGTAGGCCTCCTGAGCTCGACGACGGTGACAGATGACGTCATATTCTGAAGACGGTGAGGGTAGTGAAGGAGGGCCTGCGTGTACTTATAGAGGGACATTTAGGGAATATTTTGCTGAGGAACTTCCGTCAACGACGGCAATCTCTGCGAAGAAAAAAGGCCGAAGTGCGACTGGGCAAAATGTCTTTTTTCTGCCCGCCTCCCTGTATATGTGCAGCATAAGCAGGCGCGATATCCAGTGCATCCCAACAGTCTAGGTTCACCCAATTTATCATCGACATCATAGATACGA